TTCCATACTTCAGGCCACATGTATCCAACACCTCATTCATACACATGCACACACACGCACGCACCCGGAACCGGAAAGTATGCACGGGAACTCAAACAGTCACACCAGCATCAGCAGCACTAACAAAGTGATGAACTGTGATATTGTGCATTGGTCCTCGTTTTGCTCGCTGACTGCATAGACCTAGCTGTGAATGCCTGATCGAACAAGAACAGCAACAACACTCTGGCACAACATGTCCTCTTTTTGCGCTCCGGACAGCCCATGTGATAGCTGATGACATCACACTCTGCAGAACAATGTTTCTTGTACTCATAATGTTGTCCGAGTGTAGACCTGGATACACTTATTGTCCATATATACTTGGCACTGTGTACCAAAAAAGCCGCTTCATTTATCAAAATACATGGGATGCAGTTTAGGCACTCTCAAATCCTGTGGTACACACTTGTCAGGGCATTGTGGTAAGTTCCGTGAAGTTGCTACCATATGAAATCGACATAGCCTGTCATTAAATCACTACGAATACAATGTGGTTTGCGTTTTCTATTTCATCCCACTTGGTTTCCACGATTAATGCAACCAATCATCGTAAATCGATGCTTACTCCGTTTTCCAGTTGCGATGAGACTGGTCCCGTATTTAACAGTTTGATGGTGCTATCAGACAAGTGACAAGTTTGCAGCGTATGGAGTGCTCCATTCTCTCTGTAACTCATGCAAGTTTCTTAAACAGTTGTGAAAAGAATAGCAAATTATCCAATCAAGTGGATATGTTTTCCGTCAAGTACCATTGATTGCATAGCAGAACAGGAATACGTCCAATAACAAATCCGTATTGCCAATCGGGTTTGTCCAATCTGTTGCTAAAAAACAGATAGGTTTTCTCTCAGAGCTTTTTGAAATTGGGAATAGTAATGATGGTCTATTTTTACGGATTGCTTTATCAGCATGCTGTCAATCAATTGTGGTAGCATATCGGACTTATTATTCCTCAGTTCTCTTCAGTAACGATTCATCCGTATATCTCTATTCACATATGCGTACGCTATATCTCATTCGTATACTTTGGTCGGGCGCTAGTCTAATCAAATAGAGGATAACTATTTTCGCCAGGACAGCTGAATTAATGATTTAGTGCACAATGATATACCCACTGAAGCAGTGTTCTGATGAAATTTGATTTCTTTCAATTCGATCCCTGGGTGCGAAGTTCAGTGTACCAAGACGTACTTGAGCAAAGTGGGACCAATAACTTCATTTAACACATTCAGTGCACGGAATAATTTTGTTCAATCAATAAATGAACTTTTATTACTAGTGTTATAATTACTAAAGTGCCGCGTTGATGAGAGTTGTTTATTTGGAACAACGATATGAGTATAAATAAATTGGATTACATGGACTGAAGCATCTCGCCTGGAACAGATCAATCATAATTTCGATACGTACGCATGTTAACTAATGAAAGGGTCCGGTGGTCGATATGCATTGTCTGCGGTTACAATGTTGGACACATTAATTCGCTCAACGAGCACTTTGTGAACGTTGTGGAAAAACGCCAATCCATTTGTGTGCACCAAGTATAATACTCATCCATGTGAGTAGTACCCCATAACACCCACCCACCCACCCCACTCCGTAGACATTCTTTTTCGGAGGTGTAACGAATCATAATCGCATCATCAAAAAACAAAAAGGTCAAATTTTATTTCCGGTACATAACGCATCAACGTTCGACCTGTGACTTCACGAAAGGAGTGTACCGTTGCATCGGTCTTATGCAAATTGAAATTACCCCCTCAGTTGGTTCAATCAAGATAGT